ATGAGGACTCAATTTTTTTCAGTGAGGATGACATTCAGACATGCCAGACTCCAGACATTGTTTTTGAGATAATATACTGTAAATTCTATTCTATTGTGCAGAAACGCTTTTCCAGCAATCAGCAGATCAATGCTCTAATGGTTCAGTGTGTTACCTAATTGTCTGAGAAGAGTTCATTGATTATTGGGAGAAAAAAAAACCTTGTGCAATTGTGTTAGTTAACTGTGAGACTGCCCGCAGAAACTGTTGTTCTAACTCTCGTGTTGAGTTTGTTTTCTGTCTATAAGGTTAGAGCAAATGTGACTTCCACCCTCTTTTGTGCCTCACTGAACTGGCTAATGTGGTGTGAGTGAAAACCGATTGTGATGAAGTGTTACTGCACAAGATTTATGCTGCTTCAGACACACAAGACCCTTCAGTGGATGTGGGGTCTGCATGAGGCAAAGCAATTTATGAACGTATTTAATGGCATTTAACTATATGTTACTAACTACTACTAGCCTAATTAACTAACTAATTGTAGGGTTAATATACTGGTTCAAATGTTTGCTACAATTATTGTTTTTTGTGACAGGTTAGTGCTCGATGTGTCATGGTTTAGGTTATTTCCTGAAATATTTTGTAACTTATAACACCTGTGTCCCCTGTGTTTTGTGATTACCTCTCCACCTTCATGTGTTTCACAGGGTTTAGTTTGTTTTTTAGTAATGCTAATGTTTTTGATTTGCACCCTGTTTTTAGCCATGTTTGTACAGTGTCCTTGGGTTATTATTATTATTTTTATTATCATCATTATTATTATTATTTACTTCCTGTTCCATCATTGTGATTCTATATCTGTTTGAGTTCTCTTCTTCAGTCTCTGTTTGGTTACCTTTAGTGTTGTTTTCTCTGGATTTTTCTTTGTATCACATTTTATTAAATCCATTATTTTTTGCGGTTCTTTTTGTGCAGGTTCTTTTCTTTTGCCACACAACATGGTGCTTAGTCAAAGAAATGCATGTACACAGGGAGAGGAATGGCCCAGGGCAGCTGTGTGTGGAGTGACTAAACACACAATACAAAGTGTAAAAACAATACGACATTGTGAAAGTATTTACACACTAAACTGTGATTGTGCCTTTGAGAAAGACTTCTTCTTCTCTGCACTCTGGTCAGTTTACATGAATTTATTTCATGCATAACAGCAACAATTTTACATTTGTATATTTTCTGACCAAGCCGTGGAGCTTGTTCTCTCCGGGCTGCGGTAACATTACACGTGGCTGTAACGACGCTGTCATTGACACATGCCTCGTTCACAGATGGTAATGAAGTGTGGTCTGTGTGTCCTTCAATCGTCTTTCTGCGCCGCATAATTGTCCCTCAGCTGACTTCCTGTCATGATTTCCCCAGATGCAAAAAGCCATTCTGTTTTGTACAAAAGAGAAAGAATGGTTTGAGTTCACATCTGGAAGAATACATTCACTGATGAGAGACATGAACCGATGACTGCAGAAATATTCAACAAATGTGTATTGTAAAGTAACACAACTTATACATTGTATTTCCATCCCCACCCAGACATGGTGAGAACATGCAAACTCCGGGATGGTAAGTAAGTAAGTAGTAAGTAAGTTTTTATTTATATACCGCCTTTTCACTGCAGATCTGAGTCTCAAAGCGGTTTACAATTGTTAATGTTGGGCATTTGTCTCTCACTCCACACAGAGATGGGAGGGGCCAGTACAGGAAGCACATGCCAGAACTATTGGACATATTTTTAGTGGTAGGGGAAACCGGAGTACCCGGAGGAAACCTACGCAGACACAGGGAGAACATGCAAACTCCACTCAGAAAGGCCCTGGTCCGGCCGGGATTCGAACCCAGGACCTTCTTGCTGAGAGGCGAGAGTGCTATCCACTCAGCCACCGTGCTGGGATGGTGTGGGATCATAGACTGTATATATTAACGGATGTAGTCACGCCTATCTCCGCCGTTCGAACTAATGGGCCAAAAATTGGGCTTTCATGGAGTGATTCAAAATGGCCGCGGGGGCTGGAAAAATGTGAAAAAAAAACGCATCTGCGCATGTGTCAGCCGGCACGAGCTCCATTCATTTAAATGAGTGACTTCAAAAATTCACAGCGACTAAACTAGACTGGTCCAAAAAAAATCACTCCCCTCAGCATTGTCACACATGTGGAACGGAGCTTTGGGCCAAGAGCCAACTTTTGGACCATCCTGTAAAGGTGTTTTCGAGAGGTAAGAAGATGCTATATGTTAGCATTGGCTAATTCTTATTCCGGGTCCACCCCCATCGGCCCGGGGTGGTATTACAAGCATGTCAGCGCACGTCGTTTTGGCCACTTTTGAGCCGGGACCCGCCCCCACTGTGTGGGACCCACGACCTTCTGCTGTGCTGCTCAACTTCGCACAGCAAGCTGGGTGAGTGAGTGCTACATCTAATGAGGACTTTGTGTCCTGCTCCTGCTCTGGAACTGTTGCTCACAATCTCCACCTCAGAGGTCTGCTGCCATTTAGTACCAGATTCTTTTGTCATTGATGGTAGTACGTCCAGTGGGCTGCTGTAAATTTTTTATCAAGATTGTGAGAATCATATATTTATGTTTTTTGCTGCTTCTGCCTACAATTTTTTGTTCAACTCTGCTCTGGCTTGCTTACCCTCCACTGTCCAGACTGGAATAAAACAAATGTTTTATTTGAATGGGACAGTGGGTATTAGGGTTAGGGTTATTAATACACCGGATTGTAGCCTGGGGCTAATTTTCATCCAGTACAAACACTGACATTTTCACCATGCGTTTTGAACGCAGGGCTTCACAGTACTTTGGTCAGTGCGTCTCGCTGAAATCATCAGGTGCACAGAGCCAATTGCTAAGCGCGTGGGAGACTGCCAGAGCACGTACTTTTTTTCTCGTTCACACACTTCTAGAGGAGAGCCTGAGCTCTTTGTTTATAGTGTCTCTAGCTCCGATAAATGTGCTCATGAAAGAGTGCTGTTTATTAGGCGTTGTGGGCTCCATTGGTCCCAGAGGCAGCTCTATACAGATCTGTGGTTTAAGGAATGGCTCTACAAGTGTAAAACACACATTTGATGTGAACAGCACAGTAGTAAATACATTATTATTACCATTAAACTATGTGTACACGGAAATATGTTGGATGTAGTGGCCACCAGGGGCCAACTAATAACTAATAGGAATATATACGTGGATGTTTGCAGAATATCTGACATCGATCTGGTATTCAACTAGCACCAAAGTCAGTGTTCACCTCCTCAAGAGAAACTGACAAAATATAGAAAGGACTCAGCCTCAGCTCATGTCTGAGTCGGGCAGGAGGGGCTGAAATGGAAACTAATCCAGTGTGAAATGGGCCTTGAGGCCAATCTGTCGACCTGCCCAGAAGAATATCCCACACCCATGGGGACCCAGTGTCCGCTCAAGTGGCTGCTGACAAGATTTACTGTTCCTCATTATTTTGGGTCAGGGATGAGGTACCAACAATGTCATAAAGAAGTTATCAAAACAACCACAGCTCTCATAAATAATGCAGGGTGTTTTGGCCGGACTCGCTGGAGACAGGCTCTGTCCCATGGGTTCAATTTCTCTGACTGGGATTAGAAGGATTGAAAGCTTGTCAACAACATAAACAACTTCCAGGATAAGTTTGAAATTCACTGTCCAAAAATGTGTCTGTTTATAATTTGATTCTGGTTTAACAACGATGATGTCTGTCTTATTCTCGTGCCCAGAGCCTGAACCTTCACAAGAGGACAGCGACCCCACGAGAGAATGGAGGTCTTCACTTCTGCTTTTGTTTGAGCTGAAGAGAGACCTAAGTCTTGGTGTAAAGTTGTGTTCAGTTTGACATGTTCTGTAGGAGTTCCAAAAGCAACGTAACATTATCATTTGGAGATATCCACGGTTTTTACGACTTTGGATGCATATTCAAAGTATGTCATGAATAACGGTAAGACAATGACACTTGGAAATACTTTTTCTACTTCAGTTCCAAAGGAGTATAAGCGACACAAATTTAAAACAATTACTGATTTTAACAATTATATAATTTGTGTATATATTCAGAGATCATTTTAATTACGATTTATTCAAGAAGTTATGAATAATATTTTTTACATGAGTCTTTAAAATCTTTTAAAATGTTGAGTACTCATACCTGTACACAGTTTTGTGCAGCCTGAACTACAAAATAAACCATGCACCAAATAAACACCTCATATTTTATATACTTTTCCTTCTAGAGTCTGTCTGCTGCACATCTGGAACAAATCCAAGATGGCCCCTTTTATTGTTGCTCTGTTTCCAGTTACCACTTCCTCCTGGTGCGTCTCTGGGGCTCCACTGCAGCGAGTGCATTAGCGGATGTCCTCAGAAGTATGTGATATCGATCTGCAGGTTTGTGTTATGATAAATTTATGGCGACATGTCGACCTTTCTGTGCCTGTCAGCTCACCAGATCTCATATTAAAACAGAGGGAAGATGCTCCTTTTGCTCAATAAAGGTGAATAATTGATGTCCTTGGAACTCATTACTCCATTACACAGAGGAAATGTCAGCCTCAAGTTGTTTAGAACTGCACCTCAATGTATTGGCTTTGGTTTATGTAACGGATTGTTTGCTTTTAGGCTATTTTTACATCCAAATACTATGATTCACACAAAAATCAGCAATATTCTCTAATAAAGTTAATATTTTATTGATGCGACATTAGATTGTAAATGTTTGTATTACACTGATTTTAATCCCATGAATGATTACATAAAAGTGCTAAACTGAACTCTATGGGGAAAGCTGGTGACTCCCACAAAACCAAGTTACCATCAACATGAATGTTCAGTTGGAGATCTGAGACCGGGTCAGATTTATTTCTACTTTTATTGTGTCTTAGTGAGAGCATGTACTTCTTTTGTCGTTGGAGATACTCATCTTTTCTTCCTCAGTTCTAAGGACACTGTGCTTAATAAACAATGTTTTCAGTCAAAGCATTTGAACCTGAACATTTTGACACGTCTCCCTCCACAGTGGTATTTATTTGTCGGTCGTCTGTCATTAGTGTCCGTGTACATGGCCCTGCTGTCCCAGGGCAGCTGTGCCTCCCACTGCTCCACACCAGCAGCACTTTGAGGCTCCCTGAAGACCCTCATTAGCGGGGCAGCGATGAAGGAGCGGAGCATGTATCCTGCGGCCGTACGCTGCTCATGCTGCTGCTGTCCCGTCAGAGGAGGGACTGGGCACTTGAAAGAGCAGGGGGGACACAGGAGGTGAAGGGAATCTCTGTGTCGGAGCCTTTGGTCAGGATCAAGTGTCGACTCCACATGCCACAGTTTATATAGCACTGAGGCAACAAGTTGTGAGGAAATGTGAGAAGGACCATCGCAGACCATTTCCCCACTACATTTAATGTGAACTGCTATTTAAAGCCATTTGATTATTATTGCTTTTTTTTTTTTTCAATAAACAGAAAAAGTATTAAAACGTTAACTTTAATATTTAATTCTAATATTACAGACATTTTAAAAGTTAATCAAAAGCATTGTTGTATAGATGATGATAAGACATTGCATTTCCTGCAAATGTATGCAAAAATCGGGCCAATTGATTGTTGGACTGCTTACATTAAACTATGAGTGTTGTATTTAAGATGAAATATATAGTTAATACTGTATACAACTTAATATTAAACTGTACCATTTTATTTTGATGATTTATAACTACAAGATGTTGTAGTCCATGTTTCTTCCTCTCCAAGGACTCCCTCCCTGGCCCTTAGCGTGGCTCTGGTCCAGCGCAGTTCAGATTTCACACACGCCGCGGGTGAAGCCGGTCGGTCGCCCGGCGGTGGATGAAGGGGACAGAGATCATGTGACCAGCCGCTCCTGAGGCTGGAGTCTGCGGAATGCCCTGAAGAAGTGTCTGCTCCTCTCCATGTATTTATGTGACACTCAATCTGACGCTACTACTCACACAAACATGTGATCGCTGCACCTCAATGTCTCAATGGCCAAAGTTGTTTGAACTCGGAGATTATTACTGTAACCACAAGAGGAACATTGAACCATGAATGATGAGACCTGCAGAATCTGATTCAAGGATCTTTACTTTACTAATTAGTTTAACTTATCTAAATAATTATCAAAGTTATTAATGATTGTTTTTGATAATTATTTCAATAATGATGCATCCTTCAAAAAGTGAAGTTTTTGGAAACATTTCTATTTCCAATACAAAGTAACTGAAATGAACTGTGTGTGTATTTGCAAAACCACAGTTGACTTTTACATCCCTTTTAAATGAGAATCATTAATAAAAGCAACTATTCCAAAGAAGTGCATTTGTGTGTGTGTGTGTACATACGTGTGTGTGTGTGTGTGTGTGTTTGTGCGAATGTGTGTGCGTGTCTATGTTTTCTTTTTTATTTTCTGTATGTTTGCTATATTTTTCTACATGACACAAGCCCAATCCTCCTGATAATGGAAAATAATTGCAGACAAATTCTTCTCTTTGATAAATGACAGAGAGATGTTGACAAGACCATGAGGTCCTTCCTCTTGCAGACCTCACTACAACATTACTCACTAATCTGCTTATCAGTGGTGAAAAGTCTCTAAGAAAATTACTTATATTTGAACGGCAGATAAATTCGAACCAGGTTTTGGACAAATGCCTTCGTGCTGGTCGTTTATAACAGGGAAGAGGCTGCTGGACTCTTGTAAACATTGTGCTTTTGGGTGTCAGCGCTCTCCGTGGACACGATTCACTCTGGAGCAGGACTGTAAATATTACTGTAAAGGGGTTTATATACGAAGGTGCAGATTATTGGCTTAGACTCTGGTATTCTTCACACTACACTTGGCAGCATGTGTCTTTGATTTAAGCAAGGGCCGTAAACATAACGTACTAGCTTTTGTTAATGAGCAAAGTGGATTTTCAAGAAATGGAGGGTAATATTTTCAATGGCTATTAGGGCAAAGGAGAAAAAAGTTAGTCAGAAGGCAGTTATCATGTAGAACGCAAAATCTTCCTGGTTTATTGGTATATCTGATGCATAAGTTACGTTTGCTAAATATTATCCCTTGCAGTGAATGAGTTAGAAGAGGAAACAAAACTCTTGGGGCCCAAACATACATGAAGGGTTGGCGTGAGAGCTTTTTGGCTGTCTCCATGGTGACGGTTGCAGGTGCGGTGCCAGGATGGGCCACGCGTGACAGAGCGGTGATAAGACTGTGTAGTGCGGGCTGTCCCACAGGGCGGCTGACATCTGTGTCTGGCTCCCACCCAAGTCATCGCTCAGAGGAAATCAAAACAATGCGCTCTATATCAGATACGAGCCTGGATCTGTCAGCTTCACCACAAGACAGAAGATAAGAACATCGTCACGCTATTCCTCCACTTCAGAGCTCAGAGATTTAAACAGAATTAGGTTGTAAAAAAGTGTTCAATGAAACATCACAAATATTTGTGGGCTGTAGCAATAAATATACTTATTTTTGTATAGCCCTAAATCACAACATTAGTCACTTCAGAGGACTTTATAAAGTTGTGGATTCGCCAACATAGGAGCCATTGGTCCAGAAGGGGTGGACGACCAATGACCATGAATATTGATGTCATGTCATGTCATTTTCTACCCCTTTATTAATCCATTTCTAAGTCGGGGGGGTGGCAATCAGAACTGCCACCCAAGTCTCATAGCACCAGTGCCTCGCTGATCCTCCTGCAGGTGGTGGGTCCTCGGGAAGATGGCTTCTTCGTCAGCGACAAGATGGCCTTTGTCTTTCAGCGGGGGCTTCGGGCAATGTGGGGTTAAGTATCTTGCCCAGGGACAAATGTCCTGCCACCACTGTCTTAAGACCCTCCTGCATTAGCAAAGAACAACTGAAAAATCCAGTGAGACAAATGAGAAACGTCGGGGAGGCCCAAACTGAGAGAGGCACCCTCTCCGGGAAAGGCTACAGACCCGGGATGAGGACTGAGGCAATATACACGTACAAGAAAATGCAACTCCATCCATTTTATACCCTTTAATCCATTTCTGGGTCAGGGGGGTGGCAGTCAGAGATGCCACCCAAGTCTCATAGCACCAGCCCCTCACTGACCCTCTGCAGGTGGTGAGTCCACAGGAGGACGGCTGCTCTCTGAGTGTGAGCATAGCCTTGATCTTTCAGTGGGGGCTTTTGGGCAAAGTGCAGTTAAGTGTCTTGCCCAAGGACACAATGACAGCAGTCATCAGTGGGAGTCGGTGGAGAAGGTGCAGAGGTGGGAATTGAACCCACGACCTTCTGGCCTTAAGGCCAATGCTCTACCAACTGAGCTACTGTCGCCCCAGAAAATTCAACTGATTATTTTTATTTAATAAAAGACTGACTATTACCTGCTTATTAGGAAGACATAAAAGACTAGCCGCTATCTCAGTAATAAACTTACATTGCAGTACTATCAGAGTATTACAAGTAAAAGCTGAATTTTTGAGTAGAATAATGTTAGTAAAAACATGACATCACCAAAAGAATCCCTCTCAAAACATCATCCCTTCCTGGACAAGATGAAAGAGCATTGCATGACATTATATGCGGATGATTTCAACACTATCAAAAGGTGAACACAAATACCCCCATCGCCTCTGATTCAACAAAGGGACTATCGAGGGAACTATCTCCTTTCCGTGCATCCTCTGTAAAATAGAAAAAGGGAAAAGGAGAAACCTCTCAAAGATGTTTTTGGAGGGAGAGTGACTTTTGTTTGAAGTCAGAGGTAATGCAGAAGATAAGGGATAAACAAGTAGAGCCACCGGATAGCGTGCAAAGGCAGGACAGACTATGATCGTGCATCGAATAATAAGAGGAAGTTGAATGATTATGGTGGAGAGTAAATAAATTAGGAACATTCCAAACAAGGATCAAGATTGTCTATCGTTAATCACAGTAGAAAGTCAAAACATGTGCTAGATTATTTTGTATTCATTTGTTTTATTGGGGCTGTGAACATTAGAGAACCGGTAATAATAACTAGAAACTTGCAATGGCTGAAGCCATTGCGATTGACTGCGGAACAGATCTAATGTGGAAATCTGCTAAAAAAAATCCTTGAAATCCTTTAAAAGGCCTTGAAACTGTTAAAATACTTGATAGATATTTGAAACTCCTGAAGTCCTTGAAATTGTTGAAACCTTTAAACTCCTGAAATCCTTGAAACTGTTGAAACATTGAAACTCCTGAAATCCTTGAAACTTTTTTTAAACCTGGAAACTGTTGAAAGTGTGGAAACTCCTGAAATCCTTGAACCTCCTGATATCCTTGAAACTGGTTAAATTCTTAAACAGTTGAAATCCTTGAAACTACTGAATGTATTGAAAGTGTCCTTGAAACTGAAAAATCCCCTCACCGCTGAAACAATTTGGTTCCTGTAACTAAGGAAACCTGGTCTGTGGTCATTATCTGGTGGTGGTCTGAGTCCTTTTCGTTTGGGTCTTGGTCTGGTGGTATAATGCAACCTATTAGGTTGCATTATACTGGTTTACATGGAAAAATCCCTATTAAGTTGCATTATACTGGTTTACATGGAAATAAAAAATCCCTATTAAGTTGCATTATACTGGTTTACATGGGAAAAATCCCTATTAAGTTGCATTATACTGGTTTAGCATGGAAAAATCCCTATTAAGTTGCATTATACTGGTTTACATGGAAAAATCCCTATTAGGTTGCATTATCACTGGTTTACATGTACAAATCCCTATTACAGTTGCTTTATACTGGTTTACATGTAAAAAACCCCTATTAGGTTACATTATAGTGGTTTACATGTAAAAATCCTTATTAAGTTGCATTATACTGGTTTACATGTAAAAACCCCTATTAAGTTCCATTATACTGGTTTACATGTAAAAACCCCTATTAAGTTCCATTATACTGGTTTTACATGGTAAAAACCCTTTATTAAGTTGCATTATACTGGTTTACATGGAAAAAAACCCTATTAAGTTGCATTATAACTGGTTTACATGGAAAAATCCCTATTAAGTTGCATAATACTGGTTTTACATGGGAAAAATCCCCATTAAGTTGCATTATACTGGTTTACATGGAAAAATCCCTATTAAAGTTGCATTATACTGGTTTACATGGAAAAATCCCTATTAAGTTGCATAATACTGGTTTACATGGAAAAATCCCCATTAAGTTGCATTATACTGGTTTACATGGAAAAATCCCATTAAGTTGCATTATACTGGTTTACATGGAAAAATCCCTATTAAGTTGCATTTGTACTGGTTTACATGGAAAAAACCCTATTAAGTTGCATTATACTGGTTTACATGGAAAAAACCCTATTAAGTTGCATTATACTGGTTTACATGAAAAAACCCTATTAAGTTGCATTATACTGGTTTACATGGAAAAATCCCCATTAAGTTGCATTATACTGGTTTACATGGAAAAATCCCATATTAAGTTGCATTATACTGGTTTTACATGAATAAAAAACCCTATTAAGTTGCATTTATACTGGTTGTTTACATGAAAAAACCCTAAGAACAATTAAGTTGCATTATACTGGTTTACATGAAAAAAAATCCCTATTAAGTTGCATAATACTGGTTTACATGGAAAAATCCCCATTAAGTTGCATTATACTGGTTTACATGTAAAAAACCCTATTAAGTTGCATTATACTGGTTTACATGGAAAAATCCCTATTAAGTTGGCAATTCCACGTACTGGTTTACATGGATTAAAAACCCTATTAAGTATGCATTATACTGGTTTACATGGAAAAAACCCTTTAAGTTGCATTATACTGGTTTTACATGGAAAAAACCCTATTAAGTTGCATTATACTGGTTTACATGTTGTAAAAACCCCTATTAAGTTGCATTTATACTGGTTTACATGGAAAAAATCCCCATTAAGTTGCATTATACTGGTTTACATGAAAATAAACCCTATTAAGTAAGCATTATATCTGGTTTACATGAAAAAACCCTATTAAGTTGCATATATACTGGTTTACATGGAAAAATCCCTATTAAGTTGCATTATACTGGTATTACATGGTAAAAATCCCTATTAAGTTGCATTATACTGGTTTACATGGAAAAATTCCCTATGAAAGTTGCATTGTACTGGTTTACATGGAAAAAACCCTATTAAGTTGCATTATACTGGTTTACATGGAAAAAACCCTATTAAGTTGCATTATACTGGTTTACATGGAAAAAACCCTATTAAGTTGCATTATACTGGTTTACATGTAAAAACCCCTATTAAGTTGCATTATACTGGTATTTACATGGAAAAATCCCCATTAAGTTGCATTATACTGGTTTACATGAAAAAAAACCCTATTAAGTTGCATTATACTGGTTTACATGAAAAAACCCTATTAAGTTGCATTATACTGGTTTACATGGAAAAAAAAATCCCTAATTAAGTTGCATTATACTGGTTTTACATGGAAAAATCCCTATTAGGTTGCATGATTACACTGAAGTCCTTGAAACTGCTGAAGTCCTTGAAACTGCTGAAGTCCTTGAAACTGCTGAAGTCCTTGAAACTGTTGAAGTCCTTGAAACTCTTGAAATCTTGAAACTGCTGAAATCCTTGAAACTGTTGAATCCTTGAAACTGTTGAATCATTGAAACTGTAGAAATGTCTGAAAGAGCTGAAGTCCTATTAAAATGCATGGGCCTATTAAAATGCATTGCAGAATTCTCAATGCAGATTTTTGTCCGATTGCGGAAAAACCGGAAATCGCTGAAGTCCCAAAAGTAATAGCAATAATCTCCCAAACATGTGGAACGTTTTGATGTATAACTTGTGGAAATTGTTGAAAATGTGAAAGCTGTGAAACGTGTCAAAAAAAATGACGGAATAAAGAAATACAAAACCAATGGTTGACTGCGGAAGGTTCCGCAGTCAATCAATAATAACTAGAAACTTGCAATGGCTGAAGCCATTGCGATTGACTGCGGAACAGATCTAATGTGGAAATCTGCTAAAAAAAATCCTTGAAATCCTTTAAAAAGCCTTGAAACTGTTAAAATACTTGATAGATATTTGAAACTCCTGAAGTCCTTGAAATTGTTGAAACCTTTAAACTCCTGAAATCCTTGAAACTGTTGAAACATTGAAACTCCTGAAATCCTTGAAACTTTTTTAAACCTGGAAACTGTTGAAAGTGTGGAAACTCCTGAAATCCTTGAACCTCCTGATATCCTTGAAACTGGTTAAATTCTTAAACAGCTGAAATCCTTGAAACTACTGAATGTATTGAAAGTGTCCTTG